CCATCTAAGCTAAGCCCTATGTTACTTGACTTAAATAAATTCCTTTCATTAAGTATATCATTAAAATGCCCATCAAAGGTGCAGTATTTCATGTAAGAAAACCCTCCGGCTTACATTATTCCTATACTGATACTCGTCCATTATACACTATTCTATTAAAGATACTTTTCCAAACGTTCATTATTCCATTAAGTTATTCCGTCAAAGGTAAAGGATTTCAAAACATGTACCCATCAAGCTTACAATAATCCATTAAAGATACTTGTCAAAACTATGGTATTCCATTGAATGAATTTGTCAAAAGTGAAGTATTTTATAAAAGATACCGTTATCTTACAATATTCCATTAAAGAGACTTGTCGAAGTTACATTCAGTATTTATGATTAAGTCCCTTCCAACGTACAACTCTCTATCTAAGACATAAATGCACTTATATTCTAAACGGACAAGTAAATGTCCGTAAATATTTATTTATTTAAAGTGTTATTCACCTTGCCTTATTTATGTCTTCATTTGTCACCCGTGCCATAACAAAACTTCAGTGTAAGGAAATCAAAGAAAATCAAAGACGTGATATGTCACTTCATGTAAATAACCTGTTTTATTCTGGAATGTTTTATTTGTACGTAGGTATATAAGATACATATAACACTGACATGCTAATGATTTATATACAGTGGTAGCCGTGTATACGCTATTCATTGTCCCTATATTGTATTCGATAGGACATATTCCATACAGGTGGATGACTGTCTGTGTTGTCGTATTTTACGGTTTAATACATATGGCAATGTTTGTTTTAAAATACCTTGCGACACTTACTTAATGTAATTCAATATTCAGTTGTATTGTCATTCAAGAAAAGTTTTTATTCACAAATTCCACCGATCATAGTTTTATTAATTGACCAGCGGTGCTTATAAAACATTATGATTTTGCATATTGTTTGATTTTTTATTACAATTTATCATTTATAAATATAAAATTTAAGTTTCTTAACAGAGGCTATATCACCGTCACGCTATGATTGATGGTAAATGACCTGATCATGTAATGTTTTATACAAAGCGATTGGACAGTAAATTTGACTAAGATGTTTGAAACGCAATCTTATTTTACTAACGATACAAACGAAACGTAGTGATTACCATAAAACGCGATTGTTTTCATGCATGTTGACTATATGTTTGGAATAACTAACTGGTTTTTATTAACTGTTTTGTCGGCATGAATTGCAGACACGTCAGCGTATACTGGCATTACAATTAATTTCCAGTTACAATATACATGTATTTGTCTCTCTTCATGTCTGCTATGTACCAATTCTAATCTTTACTATATTTATATGTTTTTACTACGTATTCATTTTTACTGTATTTGACTTTTTTTTTTCTCAATTTTTTTCTTTATTTGTTATTTTCATTACATGTTCCTCGATACAATACCCCCCCCCCCCCTATATTTTCATGTTTACCGAATTTCTTTTCGTGATATGTTCTTTTTACTTTTTTTTTTGTTTTGTTTCCGTGTAATTCTTTGTTTTAAAATGTAATTTGTATTCTAAATTTAACAGTGAATACGATGTAAAAGGAAACAAAAAAATATTTTGAGAATTTTCACTTTCATGTAGACTGTAACACTACATACGGGGGAATACGTGTAAACCTAGTAACATAATATAACAATATGATGGATTTTTTTTATTAACTACATTGAATACGAAAAAAACAAATTAATGTGTTATAGTACATAAAGGCTTTTTTGTCATTTTGAGCAATTATGTAAGTGGGGACGCCGACAACAGTAAATCTTGCACACATAATTACAAAACTTAAGTGTGACTGTCTGTTTATTGACAAATGAATAGACCTGTCACGCTAAACTACCAAATTATGTATAAATTTGCAGAACACAAAAAAAGCCATTCCTCCTCTCATTCATTTCACTTTATACACGTTCAAGACCTACTTTTATTTTGCCGGTTCGTGTAATGAGCACACGCCGAATCCAGTGGAGGTTTCTGGGCTTCAGGCGTTAAAAACCCATGTATTTTGTTCTCCTTAGATTGGTCTCTCGATTCGCAAACTGAGCATTGAAGCTCAGTACATGTAAATGTTTTTAAAATGTTTGCATGTCTATGATACAATGTCTATAAACATTAATTCCTTATATAAAAAAAAACACCCAAATATTAATAAGTGTATTTTTATGAACGTATCACGCTTCTTAAAATTGATTTTAACATTTAACTTTCTGAGTAATACATGAAAAACAATAAAAAAGGAGGAAATGGAAATACTTCATATAAAAACACCAACGTACTGTCATTTTGATAAATGACATAAATGATATAAAAACACACACGAAAATAAGTGAATAATAATCAGCTCCCGCGAGAGTATGACATCACAACGTAATGTAACAATACAAAATGAACAGATAAATAATTCGTTATCATACAATGGGTTTGATCTTTGACATTGTTTACTTATTACCTCTCTGATCGTGAATCATTTCTTAAATCTCAAAGACGCTACGGAAAGACCTTAATGAGAGCCCGGATTGATATATTACTCTCTGCTTGGCTATGGACGACAGCCCAAGCCAGACGGTTGAAATGGCCGACGGCGGTTTGGATTTGACAGCCTGAACCAAGAAACGTCGATCACAGCGTACTGGTGTAGGGGTCCCCGCTTTACTCTACATCATTCACAGACGACGTTCTGAGTAGGTACATGGACGAATTAGGATAACACTGTAGCTAGTTTGTTCTGAAGGTTGTTCAGGTTATATTTCATATGGAAATACGTTTAAGGAATATTAATCAATACATATGTATGTTAATTATCTTACTGTGGTAGGGCGCTATCAAGTAAGCGACAAACTAAAACCTATTGTCGCACATTAGACCTCTCTCTTGTAATAACAAACCAAAATTAATCGCGAATTTGTTATATGAACGTAAGACACTAATAAAATAAATAGACATTAATATATCAGAAATAGTTTCAGGCGTCAAAATTATATAATTTTTAACAGTTCTATAGTCTGTGTAATGAACAAAACCGCAAAACCGCAATGAGCTTAGGGCGTTATGCAAACAACACATTCAAATATGAAGTCAACTCAGTTTTTGACTTATTAATATACACATAGTCATTCATTTAACTCAGTCGTATATTCATGTTGTATCAAAATAGGAATATAAAATAAATATAGAAATATCCGAGGGACGGGGGTACTTAATAAACTTGAACTGGAAATCTATCAATGCAGAATGATTAATCTGATGACGTAACAAAATTAACCGCTGGAAGGCAAACGTTAGAAGACATTTGTCACATAACCAATTAATCCTGTTGATAAATAACCTAGTTAGTCACGTCTTTTTGTCAAATGTGCTTCAAGGTATGCAAGTAAAAATCTAAATCAATTGATCATGTTGATAAATAAACCATTTGTTCAAGGTTTTCTATCAAAGGTTATCAAATAAACGCATGTAAATATTCCAAACATAATTAATTTAGCTATTTAGTCAAGGTTTTCTATCAGAGTTGCTTCAATCTACGCTAATGAAATGTTCCATATTTGATATATTTATCCTAGTAATAAAAGGCTACTTAATAAAAGTTTTCAATCAGAGGTGCACTAACCTTCGCTTCAGATTTTTTTTATAGTCGTTATAAGCATTTGATTTCTAATTAAGAGAATTCAGTATTTTCTAATTAGAAGAAATCTGGCTGAAAAAGTACATATTATGAATATCACACGCATGAAGGGGAAAGCCTGTCTTCCAGAATATCCTGAGGGTTGTTTGTTGATGTTGTCATGGTGTGTGGACTGTAAGCTTTACTGCACAAATTGTAAACCCATCAAAAGTCGTGATCTTGAGCCGGTTGTTTCTTTTACATTATTAATAAGGAGAACTACATTTAATGACATTGTATTTAAGAAAAAGTGTTATTCTTTGTGAAATATGATACTCTGCATGTCCTGAATATTGAGGTTCAATGTTATAATGCCGCTTTGACACATACAATGCGTGACAACTTCACAATCCCATTAATGATACACGTGTCAACACGGAGTTTGCTATACCAAATGTAGAAGGTAAAATATTGACCTCGGCTTGAGGTCAACACAGGTCTGCAGAAAATTACTCTCTTGCTTTTATATACAGGTAAATGCTATATAAAGTATGTATATGTATCTCATATCTTACCAAAATAAACGTCTTTTATATTTGATATTTTCCTTATTAAATCCCATCATACATTTTTTTTTTTTTTTTTTTTTTTTTTATCTGTATCTCAACTACATTTTTTGTTGACAAATATATAACCATTCTCACGAAGCTCTTAATCTTAAGTCTAAAACATTGTAGATTTAAAACAACGGCTGTAAAAACCAAACCACAATAGCAGAACTTCAGAGACATTTTAAGCTGGCAGCTCCTAAGGTGTGGCGTCGTAAACGGCCAGGAAACACGCTATACCACTAAAGTCTTAATTCCCAAAGCAAGCATATTGCATCTGTCGGATTTCAGCAGTTTTCCCCACTTTCACTGTAGTCTTACTCAAATGGCATTATTTCCCCGAAGAAGCTGTAACATCTTCAACAAGTTTGCTACCAACACAAAACCCGTGTCATTTTAATAACGCTATGGGATTTGCAGACAATTGGCTCTTACTGTAACATGGCTGGGAACTTTCTACGGCTTAACGATAAATGACAACTGGTAATCTACCAGCATTTACAATTGTCTACGGAAACATTCGTGAATATTCTTAAGTATCATATTGCATGTTCCGTTAAACAGTATGTGCTTTGTTTGAAAAAGAAAACCGACTGCACTTATAAAGCTAATACGACATAGATATGTATATATGCATGCATAATTATGGATGTATGCTTATGGAATACGTACCAATAATTTTTTGTCACTTTAAAAACATGCTTCTCTATACTGACACTTTTAAGAAATATAAAGAATACTTACTGTCTGCAGACAAGACTGGTTGTACGATTCCCAGATTAAAGATGAAAATCAATCCGAGGTCGATGAGGTGCTGGCGGACGTTCCACATTGTGATGTATGCGTGCTTAACTTACACAATCTCTACTACGCATACAACAATTCACTCCAAAATCCTATTCTAGACACATATCACAAACTTATATATATGATATTTTCTGTCAATTACTATCGTTCCGTAATGTAATCCAACTATCTGATATAAACAATGTAGAAAACTTTGCCGGGACAATTATATTTTTAACGTCGCCGCCCCTTGTCCCGATCGTCCTGAGACACGTTGCCGGGACTACACTACGATAGGTGGCCCAGGTTGTCGCTGTGTGTAGGAAAAAGGCAGTGTGTAGGTATGTATGTATATATAAGTAAAAAATCTCCGCAGCGTTGGATGTGTATTACTGAGAATACGTTGTTATCTTTACTTTGAACGATAAGTCATTAAGTAAAACAACAAATTATGAATAATTGCTTCATAAAAGGTTCAGAAAAAACACAGTACTTGAATAACCTCAGGAACGCATATATGGTTTTTCCTAATTTAGGCACAGGGCGAAAAGACACACCGTAAACAGTATAATGGCCGCATCGAATCCTTGCCTTGCTGCATACATAGCTCGGTTTTAGATCTGCATCAAGTCAAACGTAACTATCCCGTTATTGAATTTGTTTCATATTTTGACAGTTACATCACCCGGCACGTATATAGTTGGCAAGTTTGGCAGTTTTTTCCTGGAACCGAATCTCCAATTTCTAACGTATATAACAAACAACCTTATGCGAGTTAATCTTATATCGCGAGTGTCTGTTGCTTGCTAGGAATATCATTTATGATGCTGCTAATGACATGTTATTCTAAAGTCAAAGTGGATGATTAATGATGGCTATTTTTCACAGAAGTAAAGCGATATATTATTGGTAAATTTAACCTTCGGCGCATATATGTATATAATGATATTACAATAGAAAATAAGCGATTATTTATGGCAGGACAAAACTATGAAACGTCACTTATTAATCACGCCGGCCGGGCAGTTAATAGGCCAACGCTTCAGGTGTATTTTCCAGGTACTCCAGTATATTACATAGCAATACAGTCATCGCCAGCGTAGTCAGGGCAGGATGCGCACGCATCTGTAAGGTCAGCAGAGAAGTCAATGTTGCGTAAAACAGCCGTTTTGCCAGTTGATTGATTACCCAGAGCAGTGGTCGAGGTGACAGGTTTGCGATGGTGTTTCCTCGTCACATGGTGATACCTGTGCTTGTAAACTACAAAAAACAACACTAAAGTAATCCGTGCATATTGACGGAAAGTTATCAATGATTGTTAAAACGATGTGTTTTTGTTCCATACATAAATCAAATTGTATGGCAATTCTTATGACATAAATATGAAAATTATATCAGTATACTAATTGTAAAATATGTTTTCATCATATCTCATTAACAAAGAAACAAAATGCATGCTAAGAATGAAAGAAGCATGACAAAGCAACATGGTAGAGTATTCAAGTGCCAAACCAATTCTTAACCTAAACAAGTTTTTTTCTATGCTTAACTTAGCATCATAAATAGATAGATAAATATGATGAGAAACAATATCACACTCTGTTTAACTTAAGTTCAGACATTTCTGTTCATTCATCAGAGAAAAGGTTACAAAAACAAAATTGAAAACTATACTATGATATGATTTATGTGGTTGGTTTATTTTATAAGTTATGCTCACAAATGATCTCAATTAGTCCACGGCTAATGAGTAAGAGCACCTGCAAGTACCTACATTTATTGAAAAAAAAACAATATCTAAAATACGCCTGAACATGATATTGTGAATAACCCTTTCACCACTGCAGACCATAATGGACTCATCCAGATTAATGTATGGTAGAGTTCATTCAAGTTACATAGGGGTGAAAGAGTTGAAGAAGGACTGAAATAGAACAACCTTCGTGTAAAAGATTGATGGCGTTACTTGAAATTCACGTCTTTGTAATGAAAACAAAATGATAGATATTTATAAGATTGATTGATTTGAGTAATGTAATTTCACATGGCAGTTTTAAAGATAAATGGCTTTGCACGTGGTTTTGTATTACATATATTAGATATTAATATTCGAATACATTTCTCACGATGTTAACCGAACTATTGAAAGTGAAGGCAGGTAAAATTGATACCGGAATGCTGCAACAAATGTCAAAAGGTAGTTATTTGTAGCTTATAATGTATAATATAGAAACTGTTAGAGAAATGTTTTCCCTCTTTTGTTTTGTTATTAGATGATATGGCGTATCAACTCGTGATGTTTAAGGGTAATCACTTGGCAAACATCTTACATATTTTAAGACAAGTTTAGTAATAATTTCCTTGCTGCTAAACTGTACAGTATTTCTAACTCAAATCAACATTATTTTCCTCACAATGAAAGGTTCCGACTTTACAGTTTATCTGATAACTCAATTTAGAAAAGTTTTCCTCATCACGATACATCCAAGCTTTATCATATTATTATCTGATGACAGTGCATTTTTAGGATGTAACCCTACCTCACCGTTACAGGTGTCTTATCCTTAAAGCAGTTAAGAGTTCCAAACGTAATACATTGCGTAAACAGTACGATAATAAGTGGTAATAACACTTGGATAAATGTTTGTTATGGTACCTTTGAATGATACACAATATAACATTACAGTAGCTCTAAATCATTTCATATAAAAAGTGTTTGTAATGGAGGTAACATAATAATAATCAAGGGTTAAGAAGCATATACTCTTAAACGTCGGTATTTTATAAAAGTATTTAAAATAAAGAACAATATATGCTTATTGACGTAACGTCGTTTCATGTTATTGCTATTGCCACCACGCTGAGATGTAACTGTCACACAGCATCATTACAGCTGTAGTAACCAAGTCATAGTTTTATTAGAGGAACAGGCTTACCTGAGAGACATGTTGAGACACAGGGAAAGTTCATTCTCAAAATTTAGAAAGGCGTTAAAACATATAATTACCCATTTCGTCCTACATGATTGAATTTAAACTTTTTATAACATAACACCTTTAAGTTCCGCAAATAATGACACAACGTGGTATACAGCATCTAAAGAAATTAAATGGAAAAATCATTCTAAGGTACTGTCATAGTATATATGTAATTTGTAGTATCCTTGACGCAGATTGTCATTCATAATTCATCAAATTGAGTTTTTAATGTTGTAATATGTATGATTAAAATAAGACCCATTTTCTTAACTTGAGTAATCCTTTTTGTTGTCAGGGAAATCGCCGTAAAAGACTACAGTTTAGATCTTCATAGAAAAATCCCTAGATACATGACAATCCGCGTCCAACTACAGGTAACTACACGTTTAGGTCTTCTTTAAATCTTACTCAGCTATCTAATATGCCAAAGAATCTTAAGAAATACGAAAGTTATAGGCACAATTTTAAAAAGACAGCAAGTTAGTAGAGAAAGGAAAGCAAAGCAAATATTTTAAATGTACCATATGGTTATTTGCTCCATAAAGGACTCATAAGCGGTACAAAGGACTAAAGATTAGCAATCATCCATGTTAAACTGTTCCGAAATATATGTAGAAAATAGCTCAAAGGATTGGTTTCAAAGGATTTATCAACAGCTAAAGCCCGTTAAGGACATGCCTACTTGTGTGATGTGTGTGTGTGATGTGTGTATGTATTCTTGAAGCACGGTTTGTTGTTGTATTTGCCTCCTTATAACCCGGTCAAAATAAATTTGCTCACCCATTGCAATATTTTGGATCTTCGTATTTCTCTTTACTTCCAACTACAATTTGTTTCCTAACGCCTTTCTTGGCAATAATTCACTTTTGGTTTTCATTTTGAGCGTTCGCCCAGGTGAGGAAAGGCATTGGATTTTTGTCCCCAGGACGGGACATACTTAAGTCCTTAAAATGGTATTTGTTTTTTCCTGCTTTACGATTAGCATTAAGGGTTAATGGCAACAACTGAATCACCCGTTGTCAACGTGAAGGGAAATGTGCCTCGCGACCTGAAGCTTCATATCGCTACAACGCTTTGCTGCAACAAATGATTCATTCTTAAACTAGTATTTCATGTAAACCGTAACAGAACTTTTTCTATCTACAGAGTAATGACCGACCCCGGGAACTTGCAGCCCACCAGCAGAGTCGACGACCTCAAGACGTGAAATCATCACTGGGAATAAGAGGCAAAGAAGTATGTAGTTAAAAGATTCAGAAACAAACCCACAATGCATAAAGCTACACAAAATGGATATTTTAGAATAAGATAAAAATCATAAATGCTTGGCGATTTTTCATTTTCCCTAACGTATTTCAACACTTATAACACAATTATGTACTGGGTTTGCGATGTGAGAGGTTTATTTAGAGACGAATCGAAACAGCTTCACTCTTCAACTTTTCATTTTATTTCCGGAACAGGAAGTCAAACAACAAAACATAGAAACAAGATACGGAGACGGAATACAATAATACACAAGAACGGTTTATTCCGGATATTCTATTGATGGTTATAATAATATATATACCATGTACATGTATATAACAATTATATTTCTACTCACCGGCGAAGTTATTCGCCAACAAAACCTAAAACTCAATTCGCAAAATATAACGTTTTACAGTAAAACAATAAAAGGGATCTTATAGAAGCTATTACAAATTAACAATGTCATCCTTTGGATACTATAAAAGGACATGCACATGATTAACTAAAAGGAAAATTTTAAGAAAAAGGAAGACCTGTACCTGTATATACATCCGTGTGTTTAACAGCTAGTCCTGTTTTTATTAATAAATAATAAGTGTTTTGTGTAGAATCTAGTTGTTGGCATCTTTGCAATCTAAGTATTCCATTTTCTATAAACAAATCTTCTCTGCACGCTTTGACAATGTCATAATGGCTTGCCAATTATAAAAAATAGTAAAGTCACGTGGCATAGAAATGGTAATCTCGACAGCTTTGTGTGGCTCCTATATCGTTTTCATGGGACAGGTATCAGACTAGCGATTGGCCAGGATTTTAAACCTGGAACCGATCTATTGGCTTTCTGCGAGCCTCCGAATTTATCGTGACAGATTCCATGGATGCAGAGAAGACATGTCTATCAACGAAGTGGAACTCTGTCATTTCAAGTCATCCTTCGAATTCTAGGGTTATACTCACTTTCACTGTCTGCATTCCTGAACAATGTCATGACAACATCAATGGCACGTAGTGAGCTATTTAATTGGTTTCAGGTAAAACTGAGATAACTGAGAAGCGACAAGAGAACTCCAAATCCGTCAATTTTTACCGTTACGCTACCGCGTAGTTATTTTGATTTACTGCTCATGATCAAACTAGTCTGTTTGTATCATCTACAAGGTGACATGACATATTCCAGGGGTGCAGAGGACGTGAGAGCGCGTAACCCCTGGAATTTAGAGGATGTAGAGCATGTATTGAGGACTAATATGTAACGAACATATGACATCCATGCAGTACTTGTGAAGTTTGAATCCACTATGGTACAGTTTTCTTCAACAGATAGATTTGAAAAACCGTAAGGTACAAAACGTTATTTGAAATCAGCCTACAGAACATAAATATTCTTAACCGTAAACATTCAATGGATATACTGAATATTTGCGACCTTACACGGATTCTGAGAATTTTCTTAACAACTTTGTATCACCATGTTTATCAAAAATAACTTATCTTTAAAGATTTGACGTTTTCACATTGTACATTTGCTGTACAACATTATTCCTGGTAGTTTGCCTAACTTACGCGTTGAAAAAAATGGTATTTTTTTAAATCATATAATTAAGGGAATTTTAGCACTTTCCCTTCTGTTTAAGGAGTAGTTAGGCCAATTTGGATTTTATTTTTTTAATGCCCCATGGCATCAACGATAAGTCCCATAGGGACGAAACAGCTGTATTGTGTACTGTGCATGTAATTGACTGTTGGCATTCTGTATCTGTCACCAAATTATATAGGTGCAATCACGTTTGTGTGATACGTTAATCTTATCAGCCTTATCGACTAAAACAGTTA